GTGGACGGAGCGGGTGCCGTGGCGATAGGGTTGACGAGCGTGTGGACGACGATTTTATGCCCCGTGGTCGCTACGTTTTGAAGCGGTTGAGACACGGGGGTAGGCGGGATGACAGTATTGCGTCTCGTGTACGCAGACGTCGTGTCCACATTGCGATCGACCCGGTTGCCGTGTCAGAGGACGAGATGGGAGATCCTTCCAACGAGACGCAGCGCGACCCGGTTCATGCAGAGGAGCTAGCCTCGAACACTGATGTGATAGTGACGGAGGAGGATACAGGGTTCAGGATCACTCATCCCCGGTCGCCAGCGCCGGTTGTTGGCATTGAGGAGGAGACGGAGTTCGGAGGACCCAGTCCACTCCGCCAAGCGCAGACTCGGTGCACTCCAGCAGGCGCCCCAATCCACTCCACAGGAGCGGGTTTGGAGGACGGCGAGGCACGACGTGAGCCGCCTCCTCACATGAGTGACGGCGGTCTAGAGGAGGGAGAGGTTGCACCCACTCCCACTTGTGGAAAGGACGGGGAGGACGAACGTCCTCCGACGGACCACCACGTTGGCCTCGACTGCCCGCCCGACAGTCTTCCGCCCAYCGACGAGCTATTCACCATGGATTCCGCCTTGGCATCTCTGCCCGATATATCGCTACTGATATCTCCCACTTTGCCGGTTGTGGCACCACCGGAGCCTGCTAGATGAGATGACGCACGTCGTGACAGAGGGTTCGACGAGTTCGGCGGCGACACGATACTGCATCCTCCAGAGTCCGGCACTCCCGCCATTTTTCATGTCGGTGCACCGTGGGCGGTGGAGCAGGGGTTGGCGGAGGAGGTAGCACCGAACCGTCGTGGTGGACCGCACGTTGCAGCTCAATGAAGTCTGGAAGGTTCACTAGAGGCAGCGCCAGGAGATTTTTTGGCGCAGGGGGGTCATGGTTCGCAGCTGTTATCGGACGGCGTCTCATCAGTCCATCCACCAGAGGAGGGCCCGTAGCGAGAGCCACATCAAGGGCCAGCGGAGACTTTAGAGGCGAGGCCTCCCGGAGTTATCCGCTCGGACGGAGGCGAGGGCGTGAGCAAGGATACAGCGCAGCCAGGGAGCGCAGATGGTGGACGGTCCTTCAAGGGGGGCATCGAGCGCAGAGGGTCATCGACCGCACACCCCAGCATTATCATGCCCAACACACATGACGTTGGAGATGGGCACACAGATGAGCCTCGACCGCATTTGACGGGGATGCGTGACATTATGTGTCCACCACCCTCACGCCCCTCTGCCGCTGATCCTGCCGCCCACGGGCAGGCCGCGCCGAGCGCATTGCCTACGAGGTCTTTCTACGACGGTGCGGGCATGGACCGGAGGGCGGGCGATATCGGACAAACATCAGCATATGGACCGACAGATGTCCCGTGGGGGCGCGATCGATCGGCAACATCGATGGCACTTGTCATGATTCCATGAGAGCTTACGAGGAGCAGCATGGGAGGCCTATACGGGCCAAGACGACCGATGTCAACGACATCAGGACGACAACTGCGACGCTGTCACGGGCGAGGAAGAAGGGAACAGGTGTGTCGATTCCGTATCACGGGCGCCGCCTACATCCTTTTTTTCGCAACAGGGACGAGACCAGACAGATGTCAGCTGCCGCAGATGGACAGCGGGGGGCGGAGGGAGGTGACAGAGTGGACGAAGCAGGTCGAGGTGAGAAGAGACAAGGCGGCACGATCATCCTCCACGACGACAGCTCCACACCCGCTGAGGGCGGTGAGACCACAGGCGCCGACGATCCTGATGACTCTGATTACGTCCCGAGGATCTGAACGGCGGATGGAGATGACGGCGGAGGTCGTCGTGTGAGGATGAGGACTGGACCTGGCCCGGATGGTCATTGCACCCCAGCGGCACATTTGCCGCCTATTGATCGACGGGCGCAAGCTCGTTCTCTGTTGCGCAGACTGGGGGAGCAAAGACAGGCACGAGGGATATCACTGCCACATCAGCAGCCGGGGGGGGAATCCC